GCGGACTCCGCAGCCCACCCGCTACCACTTTCGGGCACCTCGACGGGGCACTCCCTTCGGCGCCCGACACATCTCACCCCCCCTTTGCGCACTTGGCCCACGATTGTAGAGGCCTCGGCCACCCTGGAAGCAGCTGCCTTGAGATGGCAGACGACTCCCGCTGCACCCCTGGCTGCTGCTCAGGAGAGGAGCCGGCTCAGCCGCCCCTCCCCCCCGGAAGGAAGCAGGCGCGTGTAGGGCCCAGCGCTGGCCCCAGTTTTGTCGCGCCGCTGGCGCCTGGCGGGCACCAGTCTGACCCTGGCGGCAGGGCGGCCGCGTAGCAAGAGAAGGACAGCTCCGTGACGTTGCAGTCGTGCACTCTGGGATGGAGAGGCGTGACAGCCTTCGGGAGGCTACCCGCTCTCGCTGCAGCAGATGCGGCCCCCCTGGACTTTTATCATCACTGAGCAGCCGTTCGCTGCATCCCTGGTAACCTCGGCACGCTTGCAGGTGCTGCGATGCCTGCAATGCAGACAGGCCGACGACACCGGGAACAGCAGGTCAACAGTAGGCAGCGCCTCCCCGGGGGAAGCTCTGCCCACCCATCGCCCTTGCTGGACGGGCGCTCAGACTTTTACCGAACCCTGAGTCGTCGTTAGCTGCATCCCTGGATCTTGTGCTGGTGGGCCCCTCCGCGTGGATGGCTGGTGATGTCTGTCCCCGCCGCCCCCCCCGCGGAGGTCCCGCACGGGCTGGGCGGCCTGCCGGGATTTCGTGTCCCCGCAGCACAACGGTGGGGTTCGTCCCCTGGCGCGGCTGCCCCCTGGTGCCCTCTTCAGCCACGCTGGCGATGTTCATCCCCGCCAGTCTGGCTTCCTTCCACGCTCAGTGCGGCGCTCTACGACGCTATGACATGCGTGTGGCATGGGCCGGGCCCACAGGGCTCTCCACAGGGCCGGCTCGTTGTCCGTGCTCGGGACTGGTGGGCCCCTGGAGTCTCGCGGTCGCCTCGGAGTGGTTAAGCCTTCCGTCGCGTTCCATCCTGACTCCGTCCCAGCAGATCAGGCAGGTTAGCGCCGTCGTCACGGTTCTTGCTCAGCTTACCTGGCTGGTATACGCCGTCGGCACGGTCTTGGCCCTTGGCGCCCCGCTGGCGACTCGACCATCGTTTACTTCGCCTTCGTGGCCACCACGTGTGAGGGGGGTGCAGTGCAGGACGCTCACCTGCGTCCGCGCCTCCAACCGGGTGGTCTAACGCCGCAGGGCGTAATGCCGAATTCCCTGGCATTTTGCTCTGGGCTGCACGATGCTCGAGCTTCCCTGGGTGCCCATCAGCCAGCCAGCCCTCGCCTCGCTTCCCCAGCGGCTGCTTTGTGAGCTGGCCCGGCCGGCCTGAGTTGCGCCCTGCAGCTAATTAGGTTTGTTCGTAGGCCCGGACAACTTCTCTCGCCGCGTGCGCTCTTCGCTCGCGGCCGCGACCGAAAAAAGTATCCCCAGTCCATGCCGGTGATGGTGGACCGCTTCCGACCTCCTGGCCCTGGCGCCCCCAGCTGACCGCAGCGCAGCTTGGCGGCTTAGGCAGCTTAGGTTTGACCCCGCACTCTAGTTTGCTGCTCGCTGTAAATTAGTAAGGACCGCGCCCCGGACTTACCGACCCGCCGCCTGCGCTTTCGCCCGCGGCCGCGACCAAAAAACATATCCCCAGTCCATCCAGTAGCTATGCCCAGGCGAGTTGCATTGATCAGGGAAGTGTAGGAGCGCGCAGTGGAGCGAAGAGGGGGGGGGCAGCCGTCAAGCCCAAGATCGGGATGAGCTCGAGCAGGCCCAGGAGTCTACCAGCAATGCCTTCGCGGATATTCCAATATTGGGAGCCTCGTGGCATATTCCCCGGGTCGTTTTGGGGCTTTCCTGGGGCAGCTGAGGGGGCTTTTGGGGCTCTCTTGGGGCCTCCTTGGGGCCCTTTTGGGACCCTCTTGGGGCTCTCACGCCTCTTGGAACACCTCTTCAGCCGCGTTGGAGCTGTTTTGATGCCTCAGGAGCCCATCGGACGCGAACGGTGGATGCAACACGTGTTTTCCAAACGAGGATTTGGAAGGATGTTGACCTCCCCGAGGAGTCTTGTGGAGGCTCTGTGACCACTTGGAGCCATTTTGGGACGGTCTTGGCGCCTCTTGGAGGCATGTTGGAGGCTATATTGAGCAATTTTGGGCTACGTACATTGAACCATCTTGGAGGTCGTCTTGGGCTTTCAGGGGCTCTCTTGAGGCTATGTTGAGCCATCTTGGACACACTAACCCGTCTTCCCCTTCCCCCCCGTCGAGACCAGGGAGAGGGGGCAGGGCAAACCAGTTGCGCTCGCGCCATATCTGGCATCCTACTCCTCCCACCCATCCCTTCCCTTTGCATTGTTTTCCTCTATCAGCGGACGCGTGTCATAGCGGACCTGGAACTCCCAAACAGATCCCACCCTGTAATGGGCATTCGGAACAAAAACGGGTAGATGCGTACCCAGGATGAGAGGGGTGAGCATGAGGCAGGGTGCGGATGAGGAGGAGGATGAGCAGGAGGAAAAGGAGGAAGAGCAGGAGGCGGGTATTAGGGAGGAGAAGGACAAACAAAAAGGATGATGATGCTGATGATGATGATGATGATGATGATGATGATGATGATGATGATGATGATGATGATGATGATGATGATGATGATGATGATGATGATGATGATGATGATGATGATGATGATGATGATGATGATGATGATGATGATGATGATGCTGCTGATGATGATGATGATGATGATGATGATGAGGAGGAGGAGGAGGAGGAGGAGGAGGAGGAGACGGCGAAAGAGGAGGAAAAAGAGGAGGAGGAGGAGGTTGAGGAGGAGGACGAGGACGAATAGCAGCAGCTGGAACTGGATTGGACGGAGCGGGAGGGGAAGGAGGACCAGGGGCAGGCGGAGGAGGGGAAAGGATGGGGGGCGGCAAGAATGAGGAAGGACTCGGACCCAGAAAAGTGGCACGCGTTCGTGCGAGAGCGCCATTCTGAACGACGGGGGCACAGCGCCGATCCTAACACGAGGCCAACGCTGCAGCGGCCGCACCATTTGATGCCTAACACCTTCGACTGAAATAGCTAAGAAACACAAGCGCGTGACATCCTGTGTGTCAGTATATGCGGACGGGGCGGGCCTTTCCTCGCCCATCTTCGGGAGAAAGGAGAGGAGTATCCACATGGAGTGGCTGTGGAGAGGCGAACCTCTCCCCAGTGGGGGAGAAGGGGTTTGGAATAGCTGACTCCCTAAACCACCGACGCCCAGAGGACTGGTGGGATTCATTCATAGTGTAGCGCCTGCTGGCGCACCATTTGGGGTACGGCCGCTTGGCTTGGCTTTCGCCATAGAGGCCTGGCATACGCCACTCCATTACGTGCCAGGGAGCAGGCTTGCGGATAAGGGCCTTGCCAAAGGACTAGCAAATTGATCACGCTTCGTGAGGCCGCGGTGTCTGAAGCCTTCGCAGATATTGCATGCATGCGAGGGGTGACGTGTTCATAGAGTTGTGAACGAAGCGAGCGTGCTGACTCTGCCTCCCCATATCCCCAACGTCGTGATTTTCGCTGCGCAGATCCTCCAGAGCTCTCGGCCCCGCCCCGCGGACACTGTTTTCGTTCCAGACGTTCTCTTTTAACGGCGAACGACAATTGGGAGGGGGATGATGATGATGATGATGATGATGATGATGATGATGATGATGATGATGATGATGATGATGATGATGATGATGATGATGATGATGATGATGATGATGATGATGATGATGATGATGATGATGATCACGATGAGAGTGGGGAGGAGGCCCCTGAGGGCTCCATTTCCTTCTGCGCTCACCTCCTCCTTTCTGCCCGTCGCCTCACCTCGCGGCTTCGCGCGAACGGGGCAAGTCGTGTTCCGAAGAGGCCGACGGTCCACCTCGGCTCTCCTCCTGGCGCGCCGAGGTGAGAGGCAGAAATGGCCGCCGCTGTCGTCTCCGACCGATCGACGTCGTCGTCATCGTCGTCGTCGTCGTCGCCGTCGTCGTCGTCGTCGTCGTCGTCGTCGTCGTCGTCGTCGTCGTCGTCGTGTTCTCTGTCGGCACACCACGCGGCACGGTGGAACGGGCTGAGCTGGCCTCCACCGCCGCCTTCGATCTGCAAGAGGGCCATTATCGAGGCCACCTCTGCGAAGGACGCACTCTAGCAGCGTTGGGCTCTCGGGCGCGTCCGCGAAGCCCGCGCTCTTGGCGCTGGCAGGCCTCTCCGAGGCCTGGCCCCGCGGGAGCCGCTGTCTGGGGGGGGGGCCGTGGCCGCTGGGGGGGCGGGCGGGGTCTGGGCGCGCGGCGCTCGGCTTCTCGGTCGCCGACTCGACTCGAGGCCCGCTCCCGTACAGCGGCGGACGGGCGCACGGGGCACCGGGCGAGGAGGCAGAGGCGAAGGAGGAGAAACGCCAGGAGCACAGACTTCTGGCGCTCCGCGCGGATCTCTTGGATCCGCGCTGGGCCCCCCTGGCGGCGCGCCAAATCCGAGCGGAGGGCCAAGAAATCCGCGCGGAGCGCCAACTATTATGTTTGTGTGGTTTCTCTTCCTCTAGTAGGAGTGGACAGGGAAAAGACTGGGCGTAAGTGGGGGGCGGGTGGCCCTCATGGGCCCCCAATCCCGAGAGGCACATGGGCGCCCAGGATCGGATCCCGGACCAACAGGAAGGCCCGGGACAAATAGAGATGGATGCGTGCGAGCGGTAGCTCTACAGCTTCAGGGGCGCGAATATTCGTAATTGTGCTTTGCGCTTTGCGGCCTGGGATGGAGACGCGTACTTCTCCAGGGAAGCGGCGCGAGTACGCGAAGAGTTCCGCACAGCGCGAAGCTGTGTGGCCAAGAGAACCTCTGCGTCTTCCTCTCCCCTGCTTCATCCCACGCGTGAGGGCCCGTGACTGCTCCAATGTGTGCAGGTGCTCGTATTGCTGTCGTCATTATCACCTCCCTGAGGCAACAGGTGGTGAAGAAGGAGCTTGACGTCTTGACCAGGCTCCGTTTCGAGGAGGGGCTCGGTTGGAGTGCGCGAAGACATGCAGAATCGTGTGTTGCTGCCGTGCCAGAGGAGGAGGAGGAGGAGGAG